AGGGGATATAGCCATCTAAGTCTTTGATGAACCGCATGCCATCTTGCACGCGGATATAAGCACAGATTCGCAAGCATTTCAACTGACCGACGGCTCCTCTTCCTTACAGTCGCAATACATCCGCGAAATGGGTCTTGCGGGCGGCATGGTCTGGGCCCTCGATCTCGACGACTTCAGGAACCGCTGCGGACAGGGCGCCCACCCGCTCATGAACACCATTAAGGCAGTGCTTGGTCCGCCCAAAGGAGCTGGTGATGCCTCCGTCACAGGGACTGTAGCACCACCGCCAGTACCAGTGCCAGAGAACACGACTCCGATGAGCAGAGTGCCGACCCCGACTCAGCCTGAAAGCGTGCAGCCAAGCGGTGCGTACCAGTCTGTCTCTCGAATTCTATACACTTTAAATGGGTGTAAAACTGATACAGTATATCACTTCCTTTCTTCTAAAGCAAATATATATAACGTATTTGATTCGTACATGGCAGCCAGGCACGAAGCGCTAGAACATTTAGCCTTTCACCCAAACAGTCCTTAACAACACCGCATCACATCCTCTTCCCTCCTTTTAAAAAAAGTGATATCGAAATTAAAAAGTAAACGAAAACCTCCATATCCAGAAACCTCTACAGCAAACCCTCCTCCAAATCTCCTTCAGGCTCAGGTGACTACAAGGTGGTCTGCTACTTCACCAACTGGGCCTGGTACCGACCTGGCGAAGGAAAGTATACTCCTGACGACATCGACGCCTCCCTCTGCACCCACATCGTCTACGGCTTCGCGGTCCTCAACGGCAACAACCTCCTGATCAAACCCCACGACACATGGGCTGATTTTGATAACAGTGAGTCCATGTTAAGTTTGTTCATTTTCTATTTTCTTTAGATATTTTATCGTTATTTGTCTATAATTTTTTTTATATTCCTTTTAAGATGTCTGTCGGATACTTTTTATCCATCTCTTATCATCGACTTTACGATGTTGTATGATTGATTATTCATCTACTGATCAGTTTGTTCAATTCATAAGCCGTTAAAGTTAATAACTATGTTTATCTATCTATCAATCCAATCCATAAAACATCCCAGTTCATGTGTTCGCAAAAAGGCAAATCCGAAGACAAGAATCTTAAGCGACGCGCGAAAAGAAGCTTCCACTTGCGTGCTCACCCTCGACGGCCCTTTTCAGAGTTCTACGAGCGCGTGACAGCCCTCAGGGCCCAGGGCGTCAAGGTCCTGGTGGCTATCGGAGGCTGGAACGACTCTGCAGGCAATAAGTACAGTCGTCTTGTGAACGACCCAGCTGCTCGGGCTAAGTTCAATGAACACGTTATTCAGTTCATTCAGCAGAATAACTTCGACGGTCTGGATCTCGACTGGGAGTACCCCGTGTGCTGGCAGGTAAGGGAAAAGGCCGGTCTGTTGGTTATGCTTGCGGGTGAATGAGTGGTCCCAATTTTGCCCTTGGGTGAGATTTCGGTCTTGTGTCAGTCTGTCATTAACTGAGACAATCCTTTATGGGGATGAATCGGCATCAGTAAGAAGAAAATAAGAAACAACGTCCTCTATAACATTTTCCGAGCAATAAAAAAGTTTACACATATAGAAGAAGAAAATACAAGCTTTTTACGTACATTTCCCTACCAACACAATATAAACCAACACTGATTGCACTCACCAACGTCACACAGGTGAACTGCAACAAGGGCCCCGCCTCCGACAAGGACGCCTTCTCCGCCTGGGTGAGGGAGCTCAAGGTGGCCTTCGAACCCCACGGCCTCCTGCTCTCGGCCGCCGTGTCCCCGAGCAACAAGGTCATTGACGCCGGTAAGGACCTGCTCGATGTTGAAGTACCTTTGCAAACATTTCTGAATGACTGTTTTACCTGTGTGTTTATTTGTGTAGAGGAAGTCATAGATGAAGATAACCATAATAGTAATCATAATGGTAATAATGATTGTTATTATCATTATTATCGTTATTATTATGAAAAAAATATGATATAATGATATATTATATATCTTGGGATGTCTTACATATCTTAGGATATAATGATAATAGTAATAATCATTACAATCAAAACAACAACAAACCTTGTGATCATAATAACAACGATGATAATGCTAACATAACTAGTAACGATAATCGCAATAACCGTAATAACAATATTGATAATAACAAAGACATTAACATCTGACATTCACTTCGTTCACCCCTTCTCGTCCCACCTGCAGGCTACGACGTTCCGGTTCTGAGCCAATACCTGGACTGGATCGCCGTCATGACCTACGATTACCACGGTCAGTGGGACAAGAAGACAGGTCACGTCGCCCCCATGTATGCGCACTCCACGGACGAGAACTTAGCGTTCAACACAGTGAGTTTCTTGTCATTTTTATCATTTGTTATTAATATTGTTATTTTTAGTAGTAGTAGTAGTATCATTATTTGTAGTAGTATTGTTTTTATTAGTAGTAGTAGTAGTATTTGTAGTTAGTAGTATTGTTATCTTTGTTTTTATCATTATTATCATTATTAGTATTTTATTATTATCATTGTCCTATTAAGGGAGAACTGTGTTTCTATATTTCTGTTAGTCAGCGATACGTCGTTGATATATTCTTTATTCCAATGATAACTAAAAATCAAGCACGTTACTTAAACAATTGATACTATACATCCAACATGACGTCACTGACTAATCCTCCAAAAAACGGGAACAAATCTGTCGAGACGATCCAAAAAACCCTCGCCCTCCCCAAGCCTCTGACCCCCCCCCTCTCCTGCAGAACTTCACCATCCACTACTGGATCGAGAAGGGCGCCGAGAGGAAGAAGCTGGTCCTCGGGATGCCCATGTACGGCCAGTCCTTCACCCTCGCCAGCAGCCAGGACAACGGCCTCCTGCAGAAGTCCTACGGAGGCGGTGAAGCAGGACGTTACACTCGTGCCCGCGGTTTCTTGGCCTACTACGAGGTAAGCGATAGACGCCCTAACAGTTTCTTCTTTTATTCATAGATGTGAATTAATCTGTGAGGTTAGATAAGGATGGTGGTAATGTGAGGGGCAAAAGTGTGTTCATATTTCGTCGTCAAGGTATTGGAAATGATGCTTACAGAACGTCTATAAGACACCGACATATCACACCCAAACCCAACCGAAACACACACACACACACACACACATACATACACACACACACACACACACACACACACACACACACACACACACACACACACACACACACACACACACACACACACACACACACACACACACACACACACACACACACACACACACACATCAACACCCCCAAAACCACACGGAGCGCCCTCCAACGAGACCTAACCCCCCCCTTCCCAGATCTGCTACAAGATCAGGAGCGGCGGCTGGACGGTGGTGCGGGACAGCGAGGGCACGATGGGCCCCTACGCCTACAAGGGCAACCAGTGGGTCGGGTTCGATGACGTCCACACTATCCGATACAAGGTGCGTGCTGCGGATTTTTTTCTTCTTCTTCTCTTCTCCTTCATTTTCTTCTCCTCCTTTTTTTGTTGTTGTTGTTTTTATTTCTTTGTGTTTGTGGAAATGTATGTGGGTGTAGGTTGATTTGTGTGTGAGAATGTGTAACTTTTTGTCTGTCTACCTGTTTCTTTTTATCTACCACTCAATCTTTTTATATGTGTGTGTGTGTGTTTATGTGTGTATGCACATGTGTGTGTGTGTGTGTGTGTGTGTGTGTGTGTGTGTGTGTGTGTGTGTTTGTCTGTGCGTGTATGTACAAACAGTATGTAGTATTTATGCGTAGGTGAATAGGCCTACACATTTGTACATTTTCCACTTGCATGTGCTTGCGTCTGTATATTTGGTGACCACGAAAGCAAAATCCTTTTATTCTTATTGTTCTAAATGTAAAATAATAATAATAACAATAATAATAATAATAATAATAATAATAATAATAATAATAATAATAATAATAATGAAATAAAAAAGAACAGTCGCTCTCAGTAATATCAACTATACCACACACAAGAAACATTTATGTGCACCTTCCGCCAAGACCACGAAACCCTAACGCCTCTCTCCGCCCCCAAACAGTCCGAATACATCAAGAAAATGGGTCTTGGCGGCGGCATGATCTGGGCCCTCGACCTCGACGACTTCAGGAACCGCTGCGACTGCGAGACACATCCTCTCCTCAGGACGATCAACCGCGTACTGAGGAACATCCCCGTGCCGGACCCGGGTTGCCCGCTGCTCGGAGGCGCCGCCCCCACCATGGGCATTGTCCAACCAGGTGCGGTGCTCGGTTTTCATCGTGGCTTTCTTCTTCTTTGTTCCTTCTTTTCGCTTCTTGTTTTCTTCTTTCCTTTTGCTTATCTTTCTCATTTTTTCCCTTTTCTTTTAGTTCTCTGTTTTTTCTTTTTTTATTTTTTATTTTTTATTTTTTCTTTTTTTATTTTCTTTTCTTATTTTTTCTCTTCTTCCTATTCCCTCCCTCCTCCAGCTCTTCTTTTTCTCTTCTCCTCCTTCTCTTCTCCTCCTCCTCCTCCTCCTCCTCCTCCTCCTTCTTTTCCTTAGACTGATATGAATAGATAGATAAATCTCCATCATCACTGAAGAACCGATAGATAAAACAGACAAGCAAAGGAAAAGGTAAATAATCAAATAGGCAGAGAGACAGAGTTCCATCCCCTTAACTCCCCCCCCCCCCATGAGCTCCTCTAAGCCCTCCTCCCCCCCCCCCCTCCAGGCATAACCGTCGTGCGCGAGGAGACGACGACTGCGGTGGCCGTGATGACGTCACCGCCCCCGAAGCCCAACACGGTGGCACCCGGTCCTTCCCGCCAGACGGAGTGCCAGACCGGAGAGAGCCGCGGCCACCCGACCAACTGCAACATCTTCTACGTGTGCGTCTTCGGCAAGTTCGAGGAGAAGAGGTGCCACGCCGGACTGCACTGGAACGGCAAGGTAGGGCTCGAGCAAAGGCGTTTCGGCTTTTCTTGGGGGTCACTCGCAGGCACTCACGAACAATATGATTATCTGCAGAAGTTGAATGCTGATTATAAGTGTAGTAGAGATAGTAATTAGTAGTAGTAGTATAGCAGGTATTAGTAGTAGTAGTAGTAGCAGCAATAGCAGGTAATAGGATAGTAGTAGTAGTAGTAGCAGCAATAGCAGCATCAACAGTAGTAGTAGTAGTAGCAATAACAGCAACAAAAATATTATCACACTAACAACAATAAAGATATTAATGATAACCATTCTCACTCGCACAGGACCGCTGCGACTGGCCAGACAATGCAGGTTGCTCCGGCGGCTCTTCCTCGTCCGGACCCTCCCCTCCCGAATCCACCGCTGCCCCCACCCCTACCTCCACCACCACCAACCCCTGGTGGCCGCGACCGACAACCACCTCCAAGCCGACCACCACCACCATCGCCACTCACATTGAAACGATCATCCCGGACACAGGATACAAGGTGAGAGAAAAAATATCTGTTCACGCCCAGCTGTGAGACGGTTTATTTCCTAGGATATATTATACCGTAGAAAGGAGAAATTATCTAGTAAATGCCGTGAGTAACGAGAAGGAATAGAGATTAAATATAAAACCAATGAATGAAGACATTAATACGCGTATTACCTTCGCAGGTGGTATGTTACTTCACCAACTGGGCCTGGTATCGACAAAGTGCCGGCAAGTACAGACCTGAAGACATTGACCCACACCTCTGCACTCATATTGTATACGGCTTCGCTGTTCTGGACGGCACTCGGCTCCTCATTAAGCCCCACGACACTTGGGCTGATTATGATAACAGTAAGTACACTGATTTCAAGGAATAAGCCATGGTTGGCAAGTTCTTGGAAGTGTGAGTTATTAGTCATTAGCCATTGTAAATGTAGTTTGTTTGTATTTGCTTGATTTCTTGCTATACTTTATTACCTTATTTATCTTTTGAATGCTTGGTCACAGGCAGGCTCTGTTTTGGTCCTTATGATCTTATATGGAATGTAATACAAGGATATCGTGCAGTGCACCCGAAGAGAAAGGGGGATCACATGCTGAAAGATTCTGCTATATGGTGATGTTCTAGTTCTATCGCCCAAGCTATATCACAAAAAATACATCTTGCATTTGCTCTACTGCCCCGAGCCTTGAACCAATAGATACTGAAACGTGGCGCTTGTCCCCGCAGAGTTCTACGAGAAGGTAACCGCACTGAGGGCGAGAGGCATCAAGGTCACCATCGCTATCGGAGGCTGGAACGACTCTGCCGGAGACAAGTACAGTCGCCTTGTGAACAACCCCGAAGCTCGCAGGAGGTTCAACGAGCACGTTATTGAGTTCATCAAGACACACAACTTCGACGGTCTCGATTTGGACTGGGAATATCCCGTCTGCTGGCAGGTAATTGAATCCCCTAAAACGTTAACAAAAAAAACACATCAAGTCGTATTCTATGGGGTATCCCCCAAAATAATCATTAAATGCATTCAGTATCACGTAAATTTTCGTTTTTCTTCAATCAGACTGACACAGCCTAAACCTCCAACCTGAAAGCCTATTTCATCACACTTAATCACATTACCTAATCCCCTCCCCCCCCCCCCCAGGTGAACTGCAAGAAGGGCCCCGCCTCCGACAAGGCCGCCTTTGCCGAATGGATCAAGGAACTGCACTACGCCTTCAAGCCCCACGGCCTCCTCCTCTCCGCCGCCGTCTCTCCGAGCAACAAGGTCATCGACGCAGGTAAGAATATTGATATAGAAAAAAAAACGTCATAACAAATGAAATATAGACGGTATGCATGGACGCAGGTTAAACAAGCGCGCACATGATCGCGCACGCACACACCAGCACACAAAAAGATAACAAAACCAGTGACGATTGCTTCCGACTGCCACTCTCATAACCCCCCCCTCCCCCTTTAGGCTACGATGTCCCCGCTCTGAACCGGTACCTGGACTGGATCGCCGTCATGACCTACGATTACCACGGCCACTGGGACAAGAAGACAGGTCACGTCGCTCCTATGTATGTCCACCCTGACGACGAGAACATATACTTCAATTCTGTAAGTTTATTTTCTCTCCTTTCGTATTTGTATATTTCTTTTAACATAATTTTAGCTCCTCTTTTTTATTTCTTTTATTAGATTCCTATTTTCACTCAAATTTACCTGTTCTTCGTGGTATTTCTTATCAATCAGCGGAAAAATAATCTAAAACATGGATATGGCTCTTTTCCATTCTAATAAAGTGACACAACACCTCAAAACAAGGGGATGATAATTATATAGATTATGATAATGATATAATAATCATGATAGTAATGATGATAGTGGTAATAATAGTAATAAAACTGATTGCGATAAGGATAATAATGATAGTGATGATGATGATGATAATAACAATAGTGATAATATTATCACTAATAATAATAGTAATGATGATAACAATAATGATAAAATGATAATTATGATAATAAT